TCCAGCCCTAGCCAGTTTGACTCAGTGGATAGAGAGCATTGGCCTGCGAACTGAAAGATCCCAGGTTCGATTCTGGTCAAGGGGACATGCCCAGGTTATGGGCTCCATCCCCAGTGGGGAACTTGTAGGAGGCAGCCAACCCATCATGATTTTCATCATGGATGTTTCTATCTCTCCCTCCCTCTTGCTTCCTCTCTGAAATCAATAAAAGTATATATATATTTTTAAATCCCAGTATTTTTCTATTAACAGGCCACTATGGTCAAGGATAGCAGAAGCACAGTGGCTGCTGGAGGTAACTCTGACCCTTGTTTTTGACTGTAGCTGTCTTCAAATATGTTTGTTCACCCAGTCTTTCCAGTCATTCTTTCTATGCAGTTGTCCTTATTTGGTGTTCTGTAATACTGTTTGTCTTCATTGTACTCTTATTCTCATTTCCTGTGGGGGTTTTTTATTCATGCATAGCTGTCTGCTTACTCTGGGATGGGGAAAGATTCTCTATCTCTGATTCTGCCATCTTGCTGATGTCACTCACATAGGTCTTTTGCCTGTGATCTCATCTGTGCTTGTTGTTGTACCACAGTGCTGACCATCTTTTCGATGTTTCTTTTGTGATTTCTATCATTTATGCTGTGTCATGGATCAACTGGAAATTAAGTGGAAGAATCATTTCTGCATCACAGTAGAAACATGACTTTATGAATGAAACAATGTAAACACAGGTGGTTTTGCCTGAATAAAGGGCTGTAATAAAACACTTGGGCTTTGTTACATTCATAACAAGGAAACCATTTGGTTCTACAGTGTTTTGTACCATTGCCCATTCTTCACCCAATTCTTCTTCTTCTTGCTTCTTGTTGACATTGTGCCAACGACACAGTTTTAATAATGATCAGTGCTCATTCTCCTTGGATTCCCAGTCCATGGATAACTTAAGCTCTCTAAACTTTTCACCTCTACCTCTTTCACAGGTCTCTTTTTAGTGCCCTCCACCGTTGGTCCATGCCTGCAGAGCCTTAGAGTGCACACCTATTACTGTATTGAGGTAGAACATCATGTGCTCTAATACAATTGATTTTTATGGGTTTGAGCGCATTTGAATTGTTCTACACAGACTCAGTTCACCAGCATGAAAGGTCCTAAAGGAAGCCATTTGTGGAGGAACAACTAGCAGACCCTGCCTCTCTTCTTTGTGTCCCATCCTGTGCTCTGTACCTCCCTTGGTGAGATTTTCACCATTGACTGACCTTTGGGGTCAAGAAATGTATAACAGCCATTTTCTCAGAATCTAACTCATTTGTCTTGAAAATCTTTCTATGGAATCAAGCCTAGTCAAGACAGATAAACATCTGTGTTGAAGATATTCTGTTTTCATAAGGTCAGCATGTACTTCACCAGCGTTTCCTTTTGTTCAGGTTGCTGCTGTGGAACAGAGGATGTGGAGGAACCCACTGAACAGAAGGTTTCTGTAAGAGTGTCACAGGCAGGTATTCGCAAGTTACCCTTGTCTTCCCAGGAGAGCCACCCCTGTGATAGGTGTGGGCTAGTCTTGGGAAAGATGTTCCACTTGACTGAGCAACTCGGACAGATACTGTTGAGGTGTGGGGCGTGTGCACAAGGATTTTATTTCAGTACAAAATCTCACCAGCAGCATGTGAGAGAGACAACTTTCATTAGAGATGTGGACAGGATCTCACTTGCAAAGAGCTGCAATTTCCAGGTGTCCCAGAATCATGTCACATGCGGGGAGGTGGTGCAGGGTGTCCTTACCGAGTCAGGACATCTCCACCGAAAGGCTGCTGAGACCAGCGATAGGCCAGAAGATATTTTGAAATGTGGGGCGAAGTTTCAAAGGAGAAAAAAATATAACAAAGTCATTGGCTGCAATCACACGTTTATTCAGGACAAGTGTGTCCATGCTGGAAGTCAGTGTTTTCTGTGCTGTAAATGTGGGAATTACTTTACCAAATTTTCCAGCTTTCATTACGAACATGGAGAAAAGCCTTACAAATGCAGTGAATGTTGGAAATCTTTTACGACGATGCATAGCCTTCATTGTCATCAGAGATTTCACACTGGAGAAAGGCCTTATGAGTGCAGTGAATGTGGGAATTCTTTTACCAGTAGCACTGCCCTTCATCGTCATCAGAGAGTTCACACAGGAGAAAAGACTTACAAATGCAGTGAATGTGGGAAATCTTTTAAGAGAATTGATAGCCTTCATTGTCACCAGAGACTTCACACTGGAGAAAGTCCTTTTGAGTGCAGTGAATGTGGGAAATCTTTTATCAATAGCAGTGGCCTCCATTACCATCGAAGTTTTCACACTGGAGAAAGGCCTTATACATGCAGTGAATGTGGGAAATCTTTTACAACTAGCAGTGAACTTCATCGTCATCAAAGAGTTCACACAGGAGAAAAGCCTTATAAATGCAGTGAGTGTGGGAAATCTTTTACGAGGATTGATAGACTTCATTGTCACCGGAGATTTCACACTGGAGAAAGTCCTTATACATGCAGTGAATGTGGGAAATCTTTTACCAGGAGCACTGCCCTTTATTGTCATCAGAGAATTCACACAGGAGAAAAGCCTTATAAATGCAGTGAATGTGGGAAGTCTTTTACCACTAGCACTACCCTTCATCGGCATCAGAGAATTCACACAGGAGAAAAGCCTTATAAATGCAGTGAATGTGGGAAATCTTTTACCAGGAGCACTGCCCTTTATTGTCATCAGAGAATTCACACAGGAGAAAAGCCTTATAAATGCAGTGAATGTGGGAAATCTTTTACCAGGAGCACTGCCCTTTATTGTCATCAGAGAATTCACACAGGAGAAAAGCCTTATAAATGCTGTGAATGTGGGAAATCTTTTACCACTAGCAGATACCTTCTTTGTCATCAGAGCTCACACAGGAGAAGAGCCTTATAACTGCAATGAGTGTGAGAAATCTCTTACCAGGAGCGATCATCTCCTATATCATCAGAGATTTCACACCAGAGAAAGCCTTTATTAGTCCAGTTAATGTGAGATATCTCAGCCAAATTTTTAAATTGGCTATGCACAAAAGAGACCAAATGTGAGAAATATCTTAGATGTGTAGGAAATGTTTCTTAGTTCCATCTTAGCAATAGTATAAGAAAGTTTGTGAAGTCTCATTAGTCTGAATTGTATCTCATACATTTCATCACCTACATTATGAAAAGTCCTCTCAAGTGACTTTGTTGTCATGTATGTTTGTTTTATGTTGGTATCATATGAATCTATGTTGCACTTTCTAACATACAGAGATGTGTTGCCAGGTCTATGTCACTGCATATTTCTGTTGCTGAAGGTATTTCACCTGAACCACCTATAAGGTCCCTACAGATGGCATCCATCACCATCCTCCTGTGCCCAGGGAAGCTAACTCTGTTGTCTAATTTGTTGAAGAAAATTAGGAATGCCTGAGCCCTTAGTTCTTGTTTCCCTGTCATGAGCTGCCACATAGGACTGATTACTGTTGGCGCCAGTAAACATAATGTTGCAGAGGGACTGCCATTTTCAGGGACACACTTTCTCTAGATGCTAGTGATGACTTTATTGAGTGCCTAAGTCACCAATGGAAGAACTGCCGGACTCATGTCTCTTTGGTTTGTAAAATAATGAAGGCTTTTTCCTAAGACTTCTTTAATCTGGGGTGTGCTGTTTACTATATGGGTTAGTTTATAATGAGATCTGCGCTTTCCAAGCATGATGAGGTGAAAAACGTTTATGGGGTCTGAAATATTTTTGCCCTTGGGGAAACATTATGGTGCAGAAATTATCTTAGCAGTTTGTGCCAAATTTACGCTGCTGCCCATGTTTTCCTAGGAAACACTCTGGACTCTCTAGTCCTCATGTGATGTTCTGGATGCTTTGAGACACAGAGATCACTCCAAAGAGGGGGTAGCTGTGACAGCCTCAAGTAGGTCGTCTTGTAGCATGAATTTATTTCTACTTTTCAAGGGATGACAATGCATTTGAAGGGAATCACTTGCCCAGGTCTTGCAGAGGGCCATGTGCCCTAATGCCTACAATTTCATGGGTGTTGGTCACTGGTTTGAGGACCATCGCAAGTAGGGGAAACCATTTCACTGCAGAAACACAGACCTAATGGTTGTTGAACAAGACTACAGCCCATTAGATGGAATGGTCCTCATCTAAACGTGCATCCGGGCTTTTTTTAAAAAAGGACTTCAAGAGCTGTGTGTACACATATCTGAGCGACTCCAGGCGTGTTTATCTTCTGTGGAGCAGTCATTGTCATTGAATGTAATCAAGAGCTTCTGTGGCTTCCTGTAGCTTCTCATATGTTCTCATCAGAGCCATTGGTGCTCTGGTAGCAAAACAAAGATGAAGAAAAAGGCTGTCTTTAGTCCAGGGATGTGGCTTTTGTGACCTAGTCAGCATTCCAGTGGGTTTGGGTGAAAGTTCTTAATTGTTTGTTACATTTTCTGTCACTGAGATGAGACTCGCCCAGAGGGCATAAGAATGTGGGTTGAATATAGAGTTGCCAAACCTGTTGTTCTAAAATAGGTGAACATACATTTGTTTTATCTTGAACCATTTTTGAAAAACTATAATGAGTAAATTACATGTATTAAGTATAGAGTTTCATAAATCTTGACATGTGCATGAAACTGTAACCATCGTTATACTCATAATACTGACGATATCTGTCACTGTGTAGTTGCTTCATGACCTCTTATAATCTGTCCCTGTTCTTCACAGCTTTCCTAGTAACCATGGATTTACATTCCATTTTCATAGAGAACTTTGGTTTTTCTAAGCATTTTTGTGCTTTAATTTATGTTTCATGAATACTTGGAGATTTAGTAACTCATGTTTTTTTCTGATAGATATTCTTATCATTGATATATCACTATAGTTTGTCCATTTTAATAAATATTTGGTTATTTCTAAAAAATATATATATATTTGGTTTTCTAATAAAGCTGGTACAAACATTTGTGTACAATTCTTTATATGGATATAAGTGTTATTTACCTTTGTCAAAAATTCAATGCATAATCTGAGTTTTGAGGTAGATGAATGTTTAAATTTACCAAGATTAGCAAATTGTGATCTGAATTGAATGTACCACCAGGGCCGGTGTGGCTCACAGGGTTGTGGATTTGATTGCCAGTGGGAATATGTGTCTGAGTTGTGGACTAGATAGATCCACAGAAGTGGGTGTGCAGGAGGCGGCTGGCTGATGCCTCTCTCCCATCAATGTTTTTCTCCCTCTCCCTTCTCTCTCTAAAAATTAGTAAAGTATTCTTCAAAAATAAAAAGCAAACCTAAACTGATTGTATTTTTTTGCAATTTTCAAGCAGTGTGTGTGGGATTTACATTCTCCACATCCTAGAGAATATTTTGTTTGGTCAATCATTCTTTATTTAAACATTTTTTTCCTAAGTTTTTCATGCTACCTTACTGTTTGATTGTATTATTTCTAGGTATTTATGGTGGGTCTTTTCTCAGATGTATATTTGCTGTATCTATAGCTTTGTTAAAAGCCCTGTTCATATGTTCTGCCTAATGTGCTATGAGTTTTTGCAATTTTCTTTAACAAAAAGACAATGGAATAACAAAGATGAATGTTGGAATTTCACTCCTTTTGTGCCTTTTTTTATTTTGGAAATAAAATGTCTTTGTATTGGGATAATGTGTTTTAATATTTTATATGTTTAAAAAATATATTTTTAGAGAGTTTTAAGATATTTTTTATTGATTTCAGAGAGAAAAGGAGAGTGAGAGAAAAATAGAAACATCAATGTTGAGAGAGAATCATTGATGGGCTGCCTCCTGTGCTCTGCTACTGGGAATGAACTCCACAACCCAGGCATGTGCCCTAATGAAAAATACAATGGGGGCGGGGGGACTTTTTGTGCGTGCATCTATGCTTAACCACTGAGCAACACCAGCTGGGAATTTTTTAGGTTTTAAATTCTATGCACAATGCAATGAACACTTTTAATTTTAACCCACACTACTAACATCCTCCATCACCTTCAGAAGAGCAACCTTTAGAAACATTCTCAGGACAGGAACCCTTCACTTCCCCAATGCCAACAGTCACCATTGCTTTTAAGGCCTTTTGAGAAAGAACTAGGGCCTTTCTGAACCCTTTGATCCACCTGCAGGGAGGCAGTACTGTGAGCACTGAGGTCTCCATGTTGAGTCTCCAACCTGGAATCTCCAGGAGACTCACTACAGCTCCCTGCACTTCAGTTGTCTCAATGTGACATGAAGGTAATAACAGGACTTCCCTAGGACTCTGAAGATCAAAAAAAGTGACAAACAGTACTTTCCTGTGCCAGGGTTTGCTTTTTGAGCATTTTCTTTTTTAATCCTCACAAAAACCTGGGAAGTCTAAACTAACATCGAGCTGTTGGGAACATCCACAATTACAGAAATGAAGATTTTCCAAGTTTACTTAACAATGCCAGGACTGACCCGCAGACCCTGAGTGATGGATGAATCATTACTCTGACCCACGTTTGTGTGAAAGAGAAGGCTAAGGGACAGCCTGGTTATAGGAACCAAAGAGCCCTGTTCGCCTGCCTCCTGAGGCTTTTATTGTAACCACAGCTTGAGCTAAAACTAAGTGTTAGATATTATCAGAAGGGTAAGCATCCTTGAGAAGACACATGCATCTGCAGTGTCCTTTAAGAAAAAACATCTAAAGACTGAGCATAAAGATCTTGTAAACACCAGGTGCTCTCACATACACTGACTTGCTTCCCCGTATGTCCCCCTATTTTGTTTTGCTGGATGTACAAGACAGAGTGAAGCAGCGAACATTCTGCTTTGAATGTCAGGGTCCTCAAAGCACATTTACTTCTCAAGTTCTGATTTTGTGGACTATAAGAAAAACAAAGAATTATGACACCAATGGTTAGTCCCATTAAGAAGACAGGGTGCTTACAAGCATTAAATCCTGCCTCTAGCAAGGTGTAGTGGACAGGATTATAAAGGGGAAAAGACCAGGGTGAGGAATGTAGCTACATGCAGGCCCAGGGGTCCTTAGATGTCCGCTATTGTAATTAGTCATCAGGCGATGAGATGATGTTTTGACTTCTGGTGGGTTGGTTTGATACTGCTTATTGGTTCTGCTTGCTGGGTTCACAGTTGAGTCACCTCCCTAATTACTTCGCACAGGCCTGGGAAAGAAAACTTTAAGAAAACCTTAATCCTTTATTTACATATAAGAAACTTGACCCTTTATTCACATAAGTATATGTGTGCTAAGATTTAAAATAATATGATTACTTTTTAAGTTAATTCAGGTGCTCTATAAAATTTGTTATTTACTTATAATTTTCTTTTAAGATTCTCTTCAGAACCCTTTTATCACTTCACAAACATTTTTTTTAATGCTATGTTTAAATTAAAAATATATATATTAAAAAAAAGAGTTCCTCTGGGCCCGCTACTGCTAGCAATAATGAACAGGACTCCAAATAAATTTGGCTTATTGATTAAGGCATCTTCTGATTTACAATATAACAAAGGGAGGAGTGACCTCTAGGATTGGACAAAAATTAAAATGATAGACATATACTTCTTTTCCATAGGTGGGTATGAAACTGGACAACCAATGGGTCTGGTCAGCCTGGCACTACTTGAGTCAATAAAGCCTAGACAGGGTTGAATCCTATATGAATATT